GCATAGTATACATGCAGGAAATATACACATGTAGTATACATGCAGGTAGTATACACGCGTAGTATACATGCTGGCAGTATACATGCTGGTAGTATACATGCAGGAGATATACACGCGTAGTATACATGCAGGTAGTTTACACGCGAAGTATACATGCAGGTAGTATACACGCCAAAATAATATTATAGGTTAAGGTACTCAGCCGTATATTAAGTAATTAAAAACAACCCTCACCTAATATATACATATATATGATTCAGAAAATATTTTTGCACTTTAGTATTGCTACTTTTACTTCATAAAACTCCCAATTCATCCTGGTTCATCTCTCCCAGGTAGCTCGGTTGAAACGTTAGCTAACGCTAGCTGTTAGGCTAGCTAGCAGGTAAGACAGGTGAGTTAATTGGGGTAGCTAGCTGTTAGCCTAACGTTAGGTTAGCATCAACGTTAGCCAGCTCCAGATTGTACGAGTTGTTTTTAAAATTGTCGTTTTTAACGCCAAAGGTCGCTGTAAATAGCAGTTTGTGTTTCTTTATATGCTTGTTTATTTTATATAATATGTAAACGTTTGTTGTCTGTTTCCGGTAAATTGAATTTGTTTAAACCCAACTGACGTATTCTTCTTCTCCGGTTATATTAGTGGTTGTGAAACCAGTATATATCAGTGGCGGGCCGTCAGGGCCTGCAAGGCCTTCTCTGCTGGCCTAAACAGAATCACAAAACTTTATATATTTAAAAAATAAATAAAAAAAATAAAAAATAAAATCTATTTTATAATTTTATATTTTTTCTTAAATACACTACATGTATTATAATTTATAAAAATATTTTTCCCATTATCTTATTTCCTCATTGCACAGCTACTGTCTTCCTCAGTTGCTCTGCTTCCAGTGCAGCTTGTTTTAAGTAGAGCTTTTATCCAATCAGATTTCACCTCTGTGTCTCTAGGTAAGAACAGAGGCAGAGGCCTGCACACTCTCACCTGCAGCCAGTGCAGATTAAAGTAAATGGGGACGATATTGTTGATTGTCATAGTGTTCAACCAATCAGATCTTTAGTTTGACATGTTGGGCGTATTCTTTGAAGTATCAGAGCCTGCGCGCCGGGCTATAATGACGTCAGCATTACATGCCGCCAGTGTCCATGTGTAGTTTTCCCGCGAGGTGCAGAGTGTGCTGTGATTGGTCAGTGGGCGAGCGCGTGACTATCGTGAGACGAAACTTAACAGCCAGCAGAGGCTGATGGGTAGTGAATCACATCACGTGATGCAGCTCAGCCAATCAAAATACATTCTGACTGAGTGAGATGCACCATGAGAGAGGAACCTGAGCGAGGAAAGACATTGCAGAGCAGTCTGTTCAACGCTCGTGTTGTGAGAGTTAAAATCCTATGATAATCTGTTTGGGCTGCAGCTAGTCATTAAGGAATGACAGTGGATCTCACAGCCGGACCAGCTGAGAACATTATATTTTCCTGAATTTTGGCTTTTGCATTTTCTAAATGCTCTAGCATTGTTCAACGGTTTGATACGAAGACGTACATAGTTACAGCCTTAAAATGAATAACAGCTGTGGCGCCACAATGTGGTTATAAGGTGGTATTTCAGCTGCAGGACAGCAGTGAAGGCCTAGGTATAAAATGCACGGCCCGCCACTGGTATATATATATATATGCTCAATATCGCCACCCACTGGACCGGAGTGGTGTAGCGGCAGGAGTAAATATTACAGGGGGCCTGCCTGGAGCTGCGTTCAAGTGCTGCCCGTGAATTTGAGAACTAGCCGATATCAATCAGTGGTGGAAGAAGTTTCTTATATTGTTGGATTATAATTATTGAGGCATTAATGTGTTCATGATTTTTATGCTGCAGCTAAATACTGATGGGTAGTTTAACCTGTGATGATATAACATATTACATTCATAATGTTATTGTATAATAATCTGAATCTGAATAGTAAAGGAGTAAAAAGTACAATATTTCCCTCAGAGATGTGGTGGAGTAGAAGTATAAAGTAGCGTAAAAAGTAAATGTATTTTTAAATGCTCTTGTAAAGTACAAGTACCTCAGAGTTGTACTTAAATACTACAGTACACGAGTTAGAGGTGGAACAAGTATTCAGCTATCTTATGTACATCGTCAAATCCTCCATAAAAAGTACACCGATTATCAGCAAAATGTACCTGAAGTATTTTAGGTACTCCTTATGCAGGGCCACGTCAATGAACATTTACATATTATACACATATATATGTATAATATACAGTAATTATTTTATCTTTGTCGATGTATAAGCATCATTTATTCATGTACTCAAGATGGAGCTCATTTGAACTCATTTAAATATCGTTGTGTATTTAATGTGCTGTATAAAAATACATTATATTCTATTTAATGCTCATTATTGGTTTTTCAAGATCGCGATATGCAACGTAAAAAGAAAATTTTAGAAAGAACGGTGTTTGTAAATGTAGAGAAATAAAAAGTGATGTAAAAATGTGAATGTCTCAACTTGTTTATTGTATATAAATATATATATATATTTATATAAATATATATATTTTATATATATATATATTTATATAAATATATATTTATATATATATATATATTTATATAAATATATATTTTTATACATGTACAACATTATTTTAACATTTTCATGCAAGTAACTTCTGCTTCTTATAAAATCAATATGTAATAACAGTCAATATGTTAATGTGTTCAGGGTTTATTTTGAAGAAGTCTTTTATTTAAATTAAGTTTTAAAATATGTTAATTCGCTCATCAGCACTTCTCCTGCAGCATCAGTGAGTTTTGTGTTTTTGATAAATTTTTTATTTATATCTTTGATTTTATATTAATATATATTGAATGTGTGAAGTCTGATTCATCTAAAGTTTCTAATATAAAGCAGCTGATTGGCTCCAACTGTGACTTTATAAAACATCATTTTTACCTTTAGTTCGTCCTGATTCAACATAAACTTAATTACTGACTCACAATGTTGCTACATGTTAAACTACGACAGTGCTTCAAAACGAATTATTTTAACAACTTAAAAAGAAATGAAAAGTGAGGTTTTTATGACTCATCGTAATAATTAAACATAATCGTAATTATTTAAGAGATATTTGATTTCAAACTAAAGTAAATGGTTAAGTTATAAAGTTATACATGAAGCTCATTATCTAAATTATAATAGTGTTGACGTCATATTTATTTATTTAGTTTATTGAGTTTGTTGTAAATGTTTACTGCGTATGTTATTGTTTATTCTTTTGTTTAATGTTCCTCTGATGTCTTTTAGACACCGATTCATTATTTCGAGGCTCATATAAACACAAATCTGAATAAATAGTTTTATTTGTTAGATTTTACACATAATCTGAGAAAACCTCTTAAACAGTTTCCGTCTTTGAGCTAAATTAAATGTAATAATCTATAATCAATCTACGAGCTGTATGAAGACAACACACGACACCAAACAGTCATTCTTTAAGCAAAACAATATTTATATATATATATAATATATATACTTCAAAGATCTCTGAAGGAATTAGTATCAAACAATGATCTGCTGCGTTACATTCTGATTGAAGCCCTTTTTGTTTAGAATCTTTTCAAAAGAATTAAAAATGAAAATAAGAAATAAGAAAAAGAAAAGACGCCGTCAAACGGCAACAAAGAGAAAACATTTAAATTAAAAACAAATCAACAAAACCCCAAAACACTGGATGACCTCTTCTTCAGCCGTCACAATACAAAGTCTCTTCTTCTTCTTCTGGAGTTTTCAACAAGCAGAGGAAAAACAGGAAGTAAGTGGACCTTTGAGTTTATCCAAGACGAAGAAGTTCAGCGTCAACAAATCACATTGGTCGCCTCCGTTGTTTTCATGCCGTTGACTTCCATTAGTTGTCATTTCTTTCTTAATATTTCTGAAAATGGAGACGGATGTGATGAAGCTCAAGACCCTTTAACTTACTCTAATTTAGACCACAGACTTCCATCAGGTGGGATTCTATCTTTTAGATGTTTTAGTGAAGAAAGTGTTTGACTAACATAGTCGTACATTCTGTCATCGTGTCACTTATGCATGAAAATAATAGTGAAATAAATGGTTCCCCTCTTTGTGGCCTCCAGGCTAATTTCACATTATTACAACTTCCTGGTCCGTCACGTGATGTCATCACGGCCCAAAGAGACCTTTACCCATTGACTTACATCGACTTAGATTGAGGATAATTACATTGTTGAGGTGAATCAACTTCCCACTAAAAAACAAAAGAAGATCCCGTATTTAAATATTCAGGTCCTGGACCGAGGGGGCGGGGCTAAAGGAACCACCGTCGTTCTTCGCTACAGAGAAGTGAAGAACGACTTTATTAAAGAAAGAAATATGACGTCAACAGTGAGAATTGAAAAGATAATTCTACACGTCGAGAAAGTCAAAAAGCAAGTTGATACAAATCAGCTTCGTTCAAAAAGTCTTTAAATCTACAAATCAGTTCAACTAAACATGTTCAGATTAAATAAACATAAAATGTTTTTCTTTCCGTTTCAGATTGAAGCAGACGAACGATGCGTTCACAGGCTCTCAAAAAAGTCGGCCACATGAACTGTAGTTAAATCCGTAAACCACGACAGTGAATCTGTGTGTTTGAAGCTTTTTCTTGTTTTACTTTAATTATTAATTCTGTGTTTCTGAGTCTGAGCTCCAGAAAGAAAAACAACTGATTTAGTCTTTAGTCTAACTGTGATTCCTCCAGTTTATTTAACAAATCGAACATCAGCTGACCTCCATTAAAGGAACAAAATAAAAAATATAATGCTTTTAGCTGCTGATGTGACAGGAGGAAGATCTGATCATAACTGTACAACAAACACTAATTAAACCCAAAACCTGACAAAAAAGAAAGATTAAAAGATGAAGATTTGTGTTAAAAACATCCACCAGAGCTCCGCCAGTAAAAACTCAATTAAAGTCATTGTGTCAACTTTGTTAAGTGCAATCCTTCATCATCATCGTCGTCGTCAGTATAAAGGACAGCTGGTTAGTGATCTTGTGTTTTTTTGTTTTCATCAATATTAAATCTATAAAACTAAAAAGATTAAAGAAAAGAAAACGATCCCTTTTACAGTTCACGGTCAAAAACCGTAGAGAAACATCTGGAGCTGCAGATGTTTGATGATGAGCCTCCACAGTGTGCTCTTATCTTACAGTTGATTTGTTTACTGTACATGTTGTCTGTTACCAAGAGAAGAGAATAATCGTATCTTATATTCCAGATCACCTCAGAAGAGTTTCATTCCAAACATCGACACTGAAACGTGAGATTAAAATAATCAACATCAAACATCCTGAGAACGATGTGAATTAATATTCATGACTTAAACGACACTTAAAGAGACAGTTCACCCGAAAATGTATCAATCACCTTCACAGGTTGATTTGGCGTCAAATCAATAATTTTTACTCTTCTAAGCAGATTATTATTTTACACTTTTGGGATGAAAATACTGCAGATTTCATTTTGTGTCACACGATGAATCTTAAACAGTTAAACAGCAAATAATCCGTTGTTTTGGTCCGAGAAGAAAAAATAATAATCACTAAATGAACTATTTGCTAATTCAGGTTTTTGCTCCAATGTGACTTTTCAATCGAGTAACCTTTAACGATGCAAACAAGAGAACGAGATGTGAGGAATGAAACTCTTCAGTCAGCAGGAAGAGAAACTACAGTCGCCTTCTTCAGTTCCTGGATCAGCGAGCGATCACACGACCCACACACGTCACATGACACACACACGTCGCATGACACACACACGTCACATGACAACACATGGAAAGTGTAGGAGAAGAAGCTGTAGTGCTGCAGCATAAAGGAGGCGGAGGGGCGGCCATGTTGGCTGGAGTTGGTGAGATTACGCAAGAGTTCAAGGCACGAGGATGGGCGCGTTTGTTTTGTGACACAAGAGGGGGGAGGAGTCACTGACTGGAACATTATGATGGAAGAATAGATCATGTGATGACGTTTGCTTTTCATTCACTGGAGGTCCTCTGCTCTCTCCTCGTTCACATGAAACTTTATTTTTAACCCTCAGACTGTTAATGTCGACGTGTTTTTGTTTTTCAGGACGTGGCGGCTTCGCTACGAGTTAAAAAATAGTTAACGGTGTCACCGCGTGTCATGTGACGAAGAACAAACCAATCACAGTCTTTTCTTAAATAGTCTGCAGTGAACATGTGGAGGAGAAGTTCATCATTTTAGTGGAAGAAGACTTTATAGAGATCTTTACACCATGTGACCTACTGCTAAATTACCTCAAACTCCTCCTCCTCATCCTCCTCCTCATCATCATCATCATCATCGCAGCCTGCAGGTTTTGGTTAATTAGCACCGTGGATAAAAGGTTGAAAACCTTTTTGAATGTCTACTTACACTATTTTTTTAATTGTTTTTTTAGCTCCACTAAACCTGTAACTATAACGCACTTCACTTCACTTCACTTTCACGCACTTCACCAACCGTCTCTCTGTCTCTCACGCGACGTTAAAGGCAAACGGTAGAGTTAGGTTTCTTTTGGGGTGGGGGGGGCTGAGAAGAGAGTCAGCTGATTTGTCAGAAGCAACAGGAAAAGCTCTGCGTTTAGCATAATATCTACATTTTGTTATTTATATTAAAAAGGGATCTTGACATTTTTGCTGGTGACGATTTTACAAAAATAGATCAGAAAAATACCGACTTCTACAAAACAAATAAAAAACACCGGAAGGACAGAAGAGATAAAAAGGTCAAACATTTGCTTTTTCCCCGCAGAAATAACAAGCAATCACCCTGTGTAGGTCCGGAGGAAGAGGAAGAGGAAGAGGTGTGTTTTCTCATTAGCACCATTGTGTTCTGTAGTGACTAATTGCAGCCCAATCAGGAGTCAGAAGAGTTCTGCTGGTCGACCAGTTCATTCCACATTTCATTGTTTCAGGAAACATCGTGATGCTGCGATTAGAGGAAGAAGTGAAATATTTTTTGGTTTTGACGTGAATAGATGAATAAATCCTCCGCGAGGAGAAGGAAACAGGTGTAGAGCGTAGAGGGGGGGAGGACCTCAGTCGCTGCTGTCGTCTTCGTCGTCGTCGTCCGACAGGTTGTTGAACTTTGACCCCAGCCGGCTGAAGGAGTCCGAGTGCGGCGCCAGCCCCCCCGACGTCAGCTGCAGGAAGCAGAACTCGCAGACGCGGACGGGTTTGGACGACTGGCTGGGCAGCAGGTGCTTCTTCTCCGAGCACGGCCCGCACACCACGAAGCCGCACTTCCTGCAGTGGTGGCGCCGGCTGACCGGCGTGAACTTCACCTTCTGGCAGCGCATGCACACCGTGGCCTCCGAGTCGGGCACCCACACGGCGGCGTGCTCGCCCGTCGGCGCCTTGCCGCTCTTCTGCAGCAGGTCCTCCACGCACTTCCCGATGTGGTTCATCCACTCGGACTTCTCGGTGGCGGTGGCGGCGTAGACAGCGAAGGACTTGGTGGGGGTCTTGATGAGCCAGCCGTTGCGCAGGTCGCCCTCGTCGGGCACCGTGGCGATGGTGACGCTCTCTAGCGGGATGATGTGCTGCTTGTTGTACTTCTTCTTCTGGATCACGATGTTGCCGTAGACCAGGATGTCGTTAAAGAGGAAGAACTGCCGCGCTTTGGGCTTCTTGCGGCACAGTTTGGTGAGGACGCCCTCGCCGATCAGCACGCGGCCGGGGATGACGAGCGGCTGGCCGGCGGCTCCGAAGCAGCCCTCCACCACCGCGATGCGCTTGGAGTTGGCCTCGCTGTTGGCTAGCCGATCCACCATCTTCACCTCAGCTGCAGGAAAGCGGAGACAGGGAGAACACTTTGAGATTCATAGCGTTAAATCTCAAACCGCTTCTTTCATATCTAATCAACCGTTAAATGAAGATGACATGGAACATGAAGAGGCTTATTGTGCTGCTGTGTAAATTAAAGCTATTAAAGCTGAAAACATCTATCGACATAAAACATTTTCATATTTTTGATTTGACTGCATCGTTATTTTTATATATATATATATATATAT